AGGCCACAGAGAATTGATGAAGGATGTACATTTGGGGAAGTCTTCAATGGGGAGTATCTTAGCATCTGTTCCCCCAGATGCAGCCTTGGCTGTGGACAGTTTATGGGATGGTGATCCCAGGCAGCAGAAGTGAGGGAGTGGGGAGGTGCCATAGGGACGGAAGAGAGCCAAGGGTTTGTTGTTGGGCTCACTCCTTCAGTCAGGGAAACCTCGGCTCTTCCAGAATCTTGAAGCTTCAGATGGCTTCCAGAATTGTCCACCCAAGTCAGGAGCCCAGAGTGGTCATGTGTTGGCTCCCATCCCTCATTGGTTGAGGGTTGCCCTCCGCCATATTGAACCGTCTTCGCTTCTGGGCTGCAGGGGCTCAGCTAGGACGCCAAAGGACACCCTGTGCAGCAGAGGTGGGATGCTGGAAGACCAGGTAAGTGTGAGCTGCCCTCTGTAGCTGCTGCCAGAGTCGGGTGTGGGCCAAGGGGACACAGCGAGAGCCCCACTGGCATTTCAGTCAGGGAACCAGAACTCGCACAAAGCACAAACTGGTCTCTGGTGTCCGTCCAAGAGGGAGGACGGTGCAGAGTGTTCCGTCACCCACTGTCTTACTCATATTTTTCTTTCACTGCCCCATATTGCTCATTCCTCCACCCCCTTTTCTCCCTGGCGCCTCCTTTCTACAGCCATGCTCCTCGAGGAGAGGCTCTATCTCCCTGGGAGGGGCTTCGAATTTAGAGATGCAAACGTTGCCTAGTCTGATTTCCCAGGTGTTGCAGACTCTTCCCCACAGTGTGACAAATGGTATCTGAAGCTTCCTTGAAAACCGTCATCGGAAATGCATCACCAAAAACCACCCTTTCCATGTTGGACAGCTCTGACTGCTGGAAATTTCTCTCTTCTGCTGAAATCTGTTGCTGACTTGTACCCACTGGTTCTCGCCTGGCTTTTTGGAGCACAGCCGTGCAGGTCTCCTTTGTCCCCTAGGGTAGGCCCTTTCTCTGCTACAGGCCTATGTCAGGCTCATAAAATAAGGGGGCACGGACCCATCCTGCAGGAGAGTCGCAGCACAGTGAGGCACCTGAATAGAAAAACACAAAGCAGTATGGGAAGTCCAGCCATTGCTGTAGTGGTATGTTGGTTATGTGTGTGCGTGTGTGTGCCTTTCAGTTTGCCATTCGGACAAGCAGAGGATGTGGCGTGGGGGTGTTGTGTGTTACCTGTGTGCAAGGTACAGAGGGGTATTTGGTCAACTTGTCACCCAGTATTGTAGCCCAAAGGGGTGAGCAGTAAGTACTCGTGGGTGTGTATTTGAGTCATGGCATTGAGGGTTCAGGGGTCACAGGAGAGAGAAGATTTATGGCAGATCTTGGAGTGCTTTATCTAGTACTTTCTCCTAGGGCAGACGGGAGGGAAGCCATGGAAGGGTTTGAAGGGGGGGCAGTGACAGGGACAGATGTGAATTTTGAAGCGATTCACTCTGGGATCAGGAAGGAGAATGGTTTGGAGGTGTGTCAGTCAAGATGACTTTTAGCAGAGGCACCAACTGAAGACGTGTTTGAGGATGAGGATGGCTGTTCATTGGGGTAAAGAGGCATCTGGGGACCAGTGGTTCCAGGGCGGGCTCAGCCGCCATCACAGTCTCAGGGGCCGTGTTTCCCTTTGAGATCCTCGAGGCATCGACCCGTCTTCGCTTGCTCTCCTGTAGTTCCTGGGTGTTTACCTCTGTTCCAAGCAGTGCACACGGCAATGCCTGGCCGAAGAAGAGGGACGTTTCTTTCTTCTTAGGGAGGAAAGCTGTTCCCAGAAGCCCCCTGGCAGCCTCTCCCCCAGACCCCCTTCGCCACACTGAGGTCCTGTAGCCCCAGCGGCCGGGTGGCTGTCCCCGGAGTGGGAGGGGCACTGCCCTTGAGGCAGTGGGTGGGTCTGGTGGCCGGAGCGAGGGCACTGATGGGGGAGGTGAGATTCTTACCCTTTCCCCTCCTCCCCCTGGGCCAACCCAGGCTCTTCCCGATCCTTATGTGCTCCGTCCACCATCCTCACGGTGCTCAGCTCTGCAGTGCGTTCCAACATAGGACGCCAACAGCAGAGTCAGGATCTAGCTTATCCGAGGCACAGCCAGGAGCTCCCTTCTGCTTGTGCGGGCTAACGCTGTGTGCGTACTTTTGGTTTTTTAAGTTGATTCGTGCTGTTAACCCGGGTTCTGCTTATGGTAGGCTCCAATTCACAGGGTGCTGCTCTTGTTGTCATACGTGAACATATCTCTTCCCGCTGTGTCGCTCATGAATTGAATTGTATCCCTTGGTGAGTCTGTTTATAAAGTGAAGCACGATTTTAAATGCAAACAGTCCCTTGGTAAGTCGTTCTTGCCTCTTCATAGCATCCAGTATATTCTCCTGTTGCTTATGCACACGTGTCACCCACGTGACTGTGACGCAGGCAACTTTAGGCTCTCTGAAATGTTTTTAATACAGCCACTAAAAAATGATCTAGAAACATTCCCGTCAGGCCTGATGCAGGTCAGACGTCACAGGATGTAAGCACTGGCAGTGACTTCGCAGGTCACTCGTTTTGCCCTGTTTCTTCTCCTCCTCAGGGGTCGTCTTGCTCTTCAAGGGGTGGACCTGTATGATGGTCCTTGACTTCTCCCCTTTGGCCTTGGAGAGTAATGCACAGTCTGTGTGATTCACGATCTCATCTGCTGGTTTTTCTCTTCACTTCAATGTTAACAGGCTTAGTACTGACGCTAATTACGTGACTAAGGACCTGCTCCGGTCCATTAAATTCCCTAAGACTGCTTCCACCAGGTTGAAACATGTTCCAAGTACTTGGTCTGTGGGGACAAACGTAAGTGTTTGTCTTGATCAGTCTGCCCCATTAGCCACGTTTTTTTCCTGGCGTCATCTTGGGAGCGCTTTCCTCCCCCCCAAGCAGCCTTCCCCAAGAGTTTGTGTCTCCACATTGTATCTTGTCCCGTTGGTTGGTACGTTTATGTGCAGGTCTGGCTGTCGGCCGACCTGCATCGTGGGAAGCAGGGACGTACGGAGCTGCCTCAGGCCGTCTCCCCTTTGGTTTCTCCCGTTTTCTCCAGCTTCTGCCTTATCACTGCACGGTTCCGACCTCACCTGCGTGATGCCCCATGCCAGCGCTTTCCGGGGCCCTACTGTCCGTCCGCCTGTGCGTCTGTCCTGCAGCCATGCACCCGCCCCGCGTGTGTCTCTGCCAAAGGGCTGTGTTCCTTCCACTTGTCATGACGTCCCGAAGAAGGGATTCTCGGGCAGGTTAGTTCAGGTCTGTGTGTGATTCCAAGACCGAAAACTCCTTCCCCTTCCTTCCTGTATCTCCTCTGGAATCCGGAACCGCATGCATTCGAGCGATCACACGTCCTTTTATTCCTCACTTTGGTGTTGAAGTCTTTCTTCCCCCTCAGGCTACTGCCAAGTGTCGCCGTGCAGTGTTGGCCGCCGTTCCTTCTGTGGCTGGTGTCTCCGTTCTTCAGTGGGTTTAAGTGTCCTTTCAACCCACCCAGTTCACCCTCCCCAGTGGCGGCAGATGTTTAAAGCACAGATACGGGTTAGCCCTCCTCCCACATAAACTGTCGCTCACCGTTGCCTTCCTTGGTGGCAGGGGGGTGCTGTGGGTGAAATGTGGCCGCAAACGTGTTTCTCTTGGCTCTCCCATTGTCTTAAGATCTTTTAGATTAGGGCCGACCTTGAAGCATCTAAAGATTTCATGTAAAAAATTGGAATTCCCAGTCTCTTTCTGAACAGCCCAAAGATTTGATGACATTGTCCTAAGACCTGACAGGGTGGCCCCAGCCGCAGCTGGGGCCTGTGATCCGTCACCCGAGTCCTGCTTGGCGGCTTCCCTTGCCCACACTGCTAGACTGGCATCCGTGGGCACTGGAGTTTCCTGCCCTGCTCTCCCTGAAGGAGGGTCCCAGACCTCTCGGGGGCCTTCGGGCCCTCTGGAACCTAACTTTCACTCCCTCCACTGGTTTTATTTCCACCTCCCTGCTTCTCCATGAAGCTATAGCCACACAGCACGCACGCTAAGCTAATGGTTTCCTGCTTGTCTTTGCTGTCTCTTCTTACAATGAGATGTTGCCATTTAAAAAAAATTTTTTTTTTTTTAACATTTATTTATTTTTGAGACAGAGAGAGACAGAGCATGAACAGGGGAGGGTCAGAGAAAGAGGGAGACACAGAATCCGAAACAAGCTCCAGGCTCCAAGCTGTCAGCACAGAGCCCGACGCGGGGCTCGAACCCACAGACCGTGAGACGATGACCCGAGCCGAAGTCGGACGCCTAACCGACTGAGCCACCTAGGCGCCCCATGGGATGTTGCCATTTTTATTACCATACCCACTCCTTTGTTTCACACCCTTTTTGCGTGACCTGTTCTCCAGCGTTCCCATCACTTCACAGACGCTTGTGTTTACAGTTAACGGAAGGGTTGGTTCCCCAGAAAGCCTTTCCTGACTTCTCGAGGGGATCCTACCATCCCTTCGCATTTCACTTGGCGCGCGGCTGACTGCCCCCCTCCCCACCCCCGGCCCCCACCAGACTGCAGGGCATTTGAGGGCAGGGTCTGGGTCTGTGGCTTACTGGTCTTCGTATCCCCCACGGAGGGTACCTAGTAATTGTAGCTTGAATGATTTCTTCCTGGGCTATAAATCTTGGGAGACTCTATCTTCCTTAATGACTCTGAAGTCTGGTAGGCGTCATGAAAACAAGGTGAGGGGTCATGCCTGTTTATCAACACTGTATCCCCAGTGCCTCGATGGTGGCCTGTGGCCTCAGTACCGAATTTACTGAATCAGGTGAGAGACTGAAGAATCAAAGTCGATGCCTGAAGTGTTGGAGAGGCCTGCGTAGCAGTGAGAACCCAAGTGTATATATCACACACATATATTTCTTTTACTGTCGCATAAAAAGGTTATGTGCGCGCTCCAATTCTATCACTGATATAAAAGGATATTTTATACATCTCAGTATTATTTGACCTTCAGGTGATGAATCTGACCTTGAACTGGAAAGGAAGTATAAGGAGGATGATCGAGAAAAGACTCCAAGGAGGCCGCGGACACAGAGGACGGAGAAAGTCCAGAAGATCTCCTCGGGAAAGGAGGCCGGGCAGGTTTCCGGAGTGAAGAAGCCCATCATAAGTGTGGTTTTAACGGCACACGAAGCTATTCCAGGTGAGCACAGCAAGTGGGACGGGGCCAGAGAAGAATGTTGTGGTGAGTCCATACTGGGCAGTCTCACTGCTTGGACCCTGTGGTCCCGGGCAGGGGCTGCTGCTGTTGCTGCCGCAGACACGGTCAGAGGAGCAGCGGCCACGGAGCGTGTCTTTCCTTTGCTCCCCTGGCCCAGTCCCTGTCCTGGGTGTGCCCCCCGCTCACTGTGTTGAGCGGTGCGTCTCCCGTGTGAGACAGACCTGCTGAGACCAGAGGGACGCAGCCCGCTCCCGGGAACCCATGTTCTCCGGTTCCCTCCGCCTGACTTCTGTCCTGCATTTTTAGTGTCTCCATCAAATGGTTTATAATGCTAGCGATTTCTGTCTGCATTTCCTTTCACATAAAGCAGCCTGTGGAGATATTATACTACCTTTTTTTAAAAAAGGCCTCTTTCAGGAAGGGATACTTCAGACAAAAAGCAGTATGATGTGATAGTAGGTTCCAAAGTATAATAATGGTTTTTTCCCTATCCATTTCGGGGGCTAGTTGTCAAATGTATTTTAAAATCGAGTGTAGGATTTTAAGAGCAGCTGCAGCCATTTAAACAGTCCTTTCCAGTGGAAATAGTAACTCCTTATTTAAGGTGAAAATGCCAGATAAGTGCCTCTTTACCCTTGGATGCGGAGTGCGATGATCATTAGGAAATAAAAACACTGGGCGAGAGGAACCTTCTGGAAACTCACTTCATCTGCGCTAGCCTGCTTCAGAGCAGTGTCAGTCTGGGAAGAGAAACCTCGGAGAGGGGTGGCTCCTGTTTTCAGCCGTCTCTAGACGAAGTTCCCACAGCAGCGTCTTTAAAATTGGCGGTAGGCTTTCAAGATTTCTGCAAGGGGGGTAGAAGTGTGATGGATGTTTGCGCTTCTAGATCCAGGGATAGATTGGAGCCTTTTCTTCACTGCACCGGATACGTGCATGTGCGTGTGTCCACATACGTGTGACGTGTCCACTGCTGTGCAAGGTCTTTGATCATTTCACATGATAGAATTGCACGAGCAGAGGGACCCTTGAGGTTTTCCACTCCAGACCCGTCATTTGCTAGGGTGGAAACGGAGGCTGATGGTAAGGTCATGCCACGTTTGGGACTGGACCCTTGGCAGCTCGGATTCCTGTTCACAGCCGATGCCACTGCTCCATACTGTCTTGGTGCGGTTTTACACTTATTTGCCTTTATACGGGACCTTATTTACCTTTATACGGGATTTACCTTATTTACTTTATACAGGATTTACCTTATTTACTTTATACAGGACCACTTACAGGTGGTCCTGTATAAAACCCGATAGGTAAACACATACGTATGTATGTCCCCGTCTTACATGTCTTGGTCTTTTTCATAGATCAAAGGGAATTACCTCAGAAAGGTGTTCTGGTAGATTATTAGGAAACTTGCCCTTCCCACCCAACACACACACGTTAAACGTGTGAACTGCAGGAAAACCAGTACCTGGTAAGGGTACTGTATACAGTGAGGAAACACTTCTGGGGCTCCACTCCCGTAAGGGGTGGGATCCGGGACCTCCGCGGTGCCCCTTCAATGTGTGCTGCCTTGTGCTTCATGTCAGGTGCCACCAAGATCGTTCCAGTGGAGGCCGGGCCCCCGGAGACGGGCACTGCAAACCCCGAGGCCACCCCGGCCGACCTGGCGCCTCGGAGAGGGTACCAGGAGTACGCCATCCAGCAGACGCCGTACGAGCAGCCCATGAAGTCCAGCAGGTAAAGTGTGTGTCCCGTGTGACCTCAGCCAGAGCTGGATTCTGGTGATGGCTGTGGGGGCTAGAGGACCAGCATGTTAGCGTCCCAGGACTGTGTTTGCAGACTGGGTTGTAGAGGACATGGGTTCCTTGATGTAACCCAGGAGTTGGACTCTCCATTACGGTGCCTGTGTGTTGACTGAGCCCGGGTTGCTTCTGGGAAATGCACGGCAGATTCACTTGCTCTAGGACCTGAGCACCGACTGGCTTAATGAAGGGGGAGCAGTTTACTTACGTCAGACGTATGTTTAACCTTAATAAAAAGAGGTGTAAGTAAGGCCTTACTTAGTACGTTTGCTGATTTTTATTTATTTATTAAAAAAAATTTTTTTAAGGTTTTTATTTATTTTGAAAGTGAGGGAGAGCATGTGCGCACATGTGCACAGGTCGGGGGGAGGGGCAGAGAGAGAATGCCAAGCATGCTCTGCACTCATGTGGGGCTTGAACTCACGAACCGTGAGATCATGACGTGAGCTGAAATCAAGAGTCAGACAATGGACTGAGCCACTGAGGCGCCCCAAGTTTGCTGATTTTTAAAGTTGCACATATTATAATGAAAAAAAAAATCTTTATTCCCTCCCCATTTTCAAAAGTAACACTTGTTGGGGCGCCTGGGTGGCTCAGTTGGTTAAGTGTCCGACTTTGGGCCAGGTCGTGATCTCACGGTCTGTGAGTTCGAGCCCCGCGTCGGGCTCTGTGCTGACAGCTCAGAGCCTGGAGCCTGCCTTGGAGTCTGGGTCTCCCTCTCTCTCTGCCCCTCCCCGTGCTCACACTCTGTCTCTCTCTCAAAAATAAATAAACAGTAAAAAAATTTTTTTAATTAAAAAAAGTAACACTTGTTATTTTCTTGTGGAAAGTTCCTTCACCCTGGATGATGTAGTTAATCAAAGTAACCCATCGTTCTTCTTCTAGAGGCAACTACTGTTGCCACTGTAATTTTTTCATGATATACTAAAACATAGTGCTTTAATTATGTTACTTTTTTCTAATACAAAATACCAAGTGCATTGTTATCAACTTTTTTTTTTTTTTTACTTAACCACACCTTAGGGACACCTGGGTGGCTCAGTTTGTTAAACGTCTGACTTTGGCTCAGGTCATGATCTCGCAGTCCCTGAGTTCGAGCCCCGCATCGGGCTCTGTGCTGACAGCTTAGAGCCTGGAGGCTGCTTCTGATTCTGTGTCTCCCTCTCTCTCTGCCCCTCCCCGACTCGCACTTTGTCTTTCCCAAAAATAAACATTAAAAAAAAAAAAAAAACACAAAACTTACCACACCTTAAAAAATGTTTTTGATACATAGTTTTAAAAAAGTATCTGCTGTTGAATAGGGTGCACTGTAGTTTGTATAGCCAGGTTTTGCTTGATGGGCAATGTTGTGCTCAAGGGTCTCGGACCTTTGTCTTTTGGTTCTTCTTCACGACTTCCTGTGGGGTGAATTGCTAGCATTGAAATTGCTGTCTCAAACAGTAGAGAACTTATAACTGTAACCAACATTGAAAACCGTCCTCCACACACATTGGGTCACTTGACAGCCCTTAGTGAATGCCCAGGTGCCTTTTCTATACCCTCCCCAGGGCCTCCGTCTCACCACCTGTGATAGGTACCTGCTGGGGTGGGGGTGGGGGGTTAGCAAACTGCACCTGAGCTCTGCAAACATTTTCCCAGCCGAGACGAAAGACAAAGAAAATGCCAGTTGCCAGTGGGTTTCCTCTGTTTCTAGAAGAGGGGAAATGAGGCGTTCTTGAAGAGAGCGTAGCTTTTAGTGCCAAACAGACCTGGGCTGGCTCTAGACTTTTCTACCACGGTTCAGCTCGACAGATTAAACGCCCGTTATGTGCCAGGCACTGGGGATGAGAGAGAACAGGACAGACGCCCTGTTGCGTGGAGGAAGCCTTTGCTCTGTTGTATCTGACTCAAGCGGATGTGCCTCTGAGCCCCTGTTATTCCAGCCGTAAGATCGTCTAGTACAATCTGACTTAGTTTAGTGGTGAGAATAAATGATAAACCATATGAACATGGTGTCATGTGGGATGCTTCATTAATTCGTAGCCTCAGTCCTCTGTGCTTGCAGCTGTGGGCAACCGAATTTATTGATGAAGTTGTAAAAATACTCATTCCTTTGGCAGAACTGTCATGGAATTAAGTTTGAAGAACATTCTGGTGTCAACTTAAGTTGATTTGTAGACCCTAGCTAATTATTTTCACACTCTTTCAAAATCTGCTGGGGAGGGGTTCAGCTAACTGGTCATCTGGTTAGCCAGCAAATCTATGCAATATTTAATCAACAGGTTTTGGCTATATTTCAGCTGTCATGCATTCTAGTAGTATAGCACAAATTACACAATTGTTATGAAAGAGGCTTTTTTTTTTTTTTTTTTGGCATGATGATGTTGCTTTGTAAAATATAGACACAAACTTCTAGGTTACACCAAGAGATCAGTTAGGTTTTCACACCAATATGACACTGGTGCTTGCTGTAGAAAATTTTTGAAGTCCAGAAAACTGTAAGAAAAAACATCATTTGTAATCACACTACTGTACTATAACCACTGTTTATATATATATATACATATCTGTATATGTAGATATATAGATATGTATATACATAGATATACATATATGTATACATATGTATCTATATAGATGCATAAATATGTATCTATATAGATACATATATACACATATATACACATGTATATATATTTTTTTAATGTTTATTTTTGAGAGAGAGAGACACAGTGTGAGTGGGGAGGGACAGAGAGAAAGGGAGACACAGAATCTGAAGCAGGCTCCAGGCTGAGCTGTCAGCAAGGAACCCGACGCAGGGCTCAAACTCACAAACTGTGAGATCATGACCTGGACTGAAGTCGGCTGCTTAACCAACTGAGCCACCCGGGCGCCCCACCACTGTTAATATTTTTAATGTGTTTCCTTCCAGCCTTTTATTGGGCCCGTATGTTTTATAAAATGGAGTTTATATTTCATATGCAATTTTATATTTTGCTTTAAGACCTACTCACTGTACTTCTTACTTTCCTCCGTTACTCACGTTATTCACAAATTATTTTGTGGTGACGGCGCTATAACGTCACGAGGATGTTCTGTAATCTCCTCAGCTCTTCACATCAAAGCGAATAAGACCTGGTAAAATGGCCCATCTGATTGTATCCTGTAAGACCTCACAGATGCTAGAAGAACTTGGCTACAGGGCCTTCCATGGCTGCCTCTTCTCTAGCCTTGTCCCCTCGTGTGCTCCCTGTGGTCTCTGGGCCCCAGCAGGTGTTCCAGCCATCCGGGCCCTTTGTACTTCCTTGACCTCTCCTTGCAAATGCCTCTTCCTCATTTCAGATGCCTCCCCTTTCCTTGGCTTGGTTATCCCGTTCACCTTTCAGCTCTCTGCTCAAGTGCCCAGTGTTCGGGACAGCCTGCCTGGGGTGGGTCCTGATCTAGGCTCATGGAGGATCCTGCCTTTTCCCATCACACCAGGGAGCGGTAGTCCTTATCTGCTCCTTTTCGTGGTTGTTAGTCTGGCCTGTAACCTCCTCCACAAAGTGAGCTGCAGGAGAGAATGAGTTGTGTTTGTTTTTGTTCCTCTTGTGTCCCCAGTGCCTGGAATACTTGTTTTGAATGAATGAATGAATGAATGAATGAATGAGTGAATGAATGAATGAAAAAAACAGATGTGCTAACAAACTAGTTCCCTATGTTGGGACCTTCAAGCAGCTTTTCACTGTGAGCACCTTTGTTCGAGTACCTTTTGTATTCTTTCCTTTAATTGATTCCCAGAAGTGAATAACTTTCTAAAATGCACTGGTAAGAGTGCTTCTCTCCCAGCATGGGGAACATTTGGAGTGAAGTAATTTAAAAACCGTCATATGGACACTGTGGCCCTGTGTGTCAGTTCACAGTCCTAGTTAGTAAGGCTTGCGCTTGAGAGTCTGACGTAGGCTTCTTGGAATCTTCATCAGATTCATTCCCCTTGGCAGGAAACAGGGCACGGAGGGCTTTATCAGGTTTCTGTGTAATAATACAAAAAAAAAAAAAAAAGTCAGAGCCAAAGATTCTCCTAAGACCATTTAGATCTTGCATTAGAGGAGAAAGTACTGTGATTTGTTTATTTAATTAACGTTTTGAATCTTGGGTTTCTTTCTCCAGTGTTCTTGATAACAATAAAATCTATCACCTTCTGGATTTCTTTGTCATTTGAGAAAGATCCAAATTAGTTTCCTGACATTAGCCTTGGGTTTAGCATGCAGGCAGAGTGCTAACTTTCAAATTTGAATATTTTAATTACATTATGTGAGTTGTACCCTCTGGTGTTTATGAACTACAATCGATTTAAATATTTTTAATTTAAAGACAAGGCAACCTATGTTGATCAAGCATAGTTGAATGGGTAGTTCCATATATACAGATTTTGCAGTTCCTGTGGATACAGCTTAATGGGCTCTGGTCAAGAGCATTGAGTGAGATTATCAGTGTTTCTGAGGACCTTCATGGACAACCTCGACATACTGTCCAGCGGGAGTATAGGTACAGAGGAGAGGAGGCCTCACCTGCCTGTGTGTCATCTGTCAATTCCTGTCCCTAGTGCATGCTATAGTACTTGAGTGGCCATCATTCACTGGCTTCAGAAACAAGGCAGGGCTATTCCAACGGCACTGGAAGTCCCGTACAGGGGACTTTCTCTGTGTATACAATTACTTTGGGGAGGGGGACTGGTGTATGTGGTGTTTGCTGGCATTATAGAGGAGGAGGAGGAACACGCAGGCTCTAGAGGCAGAGAGTCTGCTTGGGGTCAAATCCTGGCGTCACCGCTTACTAACTGTATGATGTTGGGCGCAGACTCAGTTTTGTCATCTGCAAAATGGGTGTAACGAGGCTAGAAATAAATATAGTCAGTGTAGGGCTGGGCAGTTCACACATCCTTAGTGATTATTAGCTGTTATTACCATCTCATACACATGGCCATATTGAAAGGGAAAGGATCCATGAGGCAGACCATGCTTTTATTCTCCGTCACACACACAAAATCTGACACAGCGCTTGAAACACACTGGCAGGTATTCATAAATGACAAGCATTAATAAATTATTCATGAGGTTAATAAACGGCAGTTGAACAGCAGCCCTCTTTCCCCGTCTCAGCTCTAAATTAGCCGTGGTAAAGGAGGAGGACGATGGAGACTGGAGCACCAGCTCTGTTACTGATGGAGTCGCGGGGGGCACGGCGTGGTGCTCATCAGCACGGAGCTTCCCGTTCCTGGGCACCTGCCTCACCTGCAGTCCTTGACCGCTGCTGGCCAGGCCCACGCATGCCCACCTAGCTAAGCACTCACTGTACCACTTGCTGTTCACGGGCAGACCGTCCTTGCAAGAAGGGGAAAGTTGGAGCTCAGCTCATGAGGTCCAGGCGACCAGTCAGATAGGCCCGTTCACTTGCCTTGGGAGGACGTAGGGATGCGGGTCTTTCACTGACGGGTGGCAGCAAGGGACGAGCTGGTTGAATGAACAAGCAAGTCTGGCTTGTTGAAGCTGGTGGACAAACCCAAGCAGATTGTATCTGGTCTCACGGAGCCGACGGAGCTCGTTCCGTTAATGACGGGTCATGTAGCCAGAAGACGTACAGGTCAGCTTTGGAGCACAGCTGGTTGTTGTGTACGTTGTGAGTGACACATCCCTCTTCCCTCTTTCTCCTCTTGCCTCCCTCTTCTGCAAGCCTCAACTCAGACATCTCCTGTTTAGCAAGTTTCCCAACTACCTGAATCCAGGTTAGATGTCTCTTTCTCTCTCCCCCCCCCCCCCCCCCGCCCCGCACATGTTCCCATCAACACTTGCCCCACTGTCGTGCAAGCATGTGCTCACCTGTCTCCCCTCCCCCAGACCGTGAGCTCCAGTCTCTGTACGCGCCTGGTCCATACTCGGCCTTCCGGTCGGTCCCGCTTGTTGCCGAATGAATGCCTCCGTCCAGCCTCAGGGCCGTTTGGGTCACTTTGAGCCTTTGGCGTTCGGTTCCCAAGAAGGAGTTCACGGTCCTTAGGGAGGTGCGGCGTCTCCAAGGGTAACGGTGCTGTCGTCTGTTTCCAGGCTAGGGCCCACCCAGCTCAAGATCTTCACCTGCGAGTACTGCAACAAGGTGTTCAAGTTCAAGCACTCGCTGCAGGCGCACCTGAGGATCCACACCAACGAGAAGCCGTACAAGTGCCCCCAGTGCAGCTACGCCAGCGCCATCAAGGCCAACCTGAACGTGCACCTGCGCAAGCACACGGGCGAGAAGTTCGCCTGCGACTACTGCGCCTTCACCTGCCTGAGCAAAGGGCACCTGAAGGTGCACGTGGAGCGCGTGCACAAGAAGGTCAAGCAGCACTGCCGCTTCTGCAAGAAGAAGTACTCCGACGTCAAGAACCTCATCAAGCACGTCCGGCACGCGCACGACCCGCAGGACCGGAAGGTGCAGGAGGCCCTGGACGAGCTCTGCCTGCTCACCAGGGAGGGCAAGCGGCAGCTGCTGTACGACTGCCACATCTGCGAGCGCAAGTTCAAGAACGAGCTGGACCGCGACCGCCACATGCTGGTGCACGGGGACAAGTGGCCCTTCGCCTGCGAGCTCTGCGGCCACGGGGCCACCAAGTACCAGGCGCTGGAGCTGCACGTGCGGAAGCACCCGTTTGTGTACGTGTGCGCGCTGTGCCTCAAGAAGTTCGTCAGCTCCATCCGGCTGCGCTCGCACATCAGGGAGGCGCACGGGGCGGTGCAGGAGGGCGGGCTCTTCACCAGCTCCATCAACCAGAGCTTCTGCCTCCTGGAGCCGGGCGGGGACGTGCAGCAGGAAGCGCTGGGGGGCCAGCCGCAGCTGGCGGAGGAGCAGTTTGTGTTCCCGGGCGTGAGTGCGCCCAAGGGGGCGGCCTGCCCCGCAGACGCTGGGCCCGGCGAGGGGGCTGACGAGGGGGCCGGGAAGGAGCCGGAGGCCGCCGCGCAGGAGCCCGCCCCGCCCGCGCACTTGGCCGCCCCCCAGGCCCGGGGGGCCGCCCTGCCACCCTGCGGGCTGGAAGCCGCCGCGGACGCCTCGGACCTTCCTTCTCAGGCGGTGGTCTCCGAGGAGTTTTTACTGAAAAGTGATCCCTCCCCTGCTGAGGCTCGCACCGTCCCCGTCCCCGAGGAGACCTTGGACGCCCGGCGCGGAGCCTCCTCCCAGACTCAGGGTGAAGAAGTCCCATCACTGCCATCCAAGGCCGGAAGTGCGGGAGCGAACCTGGACGCGCGGGGGGCCGAGAGCCCCCCAGAGGCAGGGCAGAAAATGGCTGCCGTCCCGTCCGAGGGACCAGATCCTAGTAGGTGTCTCAGGTCAAACCCAGGCGAGGCCTCGGACCTTCCTCTGGTAGCAGGTGGAGGGGACGTGGCCCCGCCGCAGCCTGACTCTTGCAGTCCGGCCTCCGAGCACCGGGCCGGCATCAGTGCGTTCATGAAGATCCTGGATGGCTTACAGAAGAGAAGGATGAACACCGGCTTGTGCGAGAGGATCCGGAAGGTGTACGGGGACCTGGAGTGTGAATACTGCGGTAAGGAGGGCGGCGCTGGGCAAGCAGCCGGCTGAGCGCTCGTTCCCTACAGCCCCGCCCGTCCCCAGCCTGCTTTGGGTCACCTCGTGTTTGGTTTGAGCTCGTGTCTCTTTGCAAAGAACCACTCGTCAACGAGCTGTCCTTCATCATTTGTAGACAGTAGGAGGCGGCCACCTGTGTCACAGTTTAGCATGTGGCGTATTTATGGAGGTGGCCAGGATGGCGGGGCAGGTAGCGGTGCTAGCTGGGGCAGGCACACGCAGTGGTCTCTCTCACGGCTGCTGCCGGAACTTGAACCGAGAAGAATGGTTCTTCTGGTACGTGACAAGTTCAAAGTGTAGCTTGAGTCGTGGCCCTGTTCTCCCTGCAGCTCCTTGTAGAGAGCCCCGATTGGAGCCCTCGCAGCTGTCCGTGCAGGCACGGCCCCTGAGGCTCCCCGAGAGCTGGCAGCGCGGGTGGTGGGAGAGCCCACCTCTGGCCCAGGTGTCGGCAGGGGTCGGAGGCCCTGATTTAGGCAAGTGCACAGCAGCATCTGGTGCTGTAATTGGTCCTCAGGAAACATTTGTTTCCTCCTGTCCTAGCTCTGATGTCACGCAAACAGCGTAGCACCCTTAAAGTTTACAGCCTCCCGCCTCTAAAAAGCAATTTCCAGGCAGAAGTGAGGAAAGCGTGAAGGGTGACCCGGACAAGCCGGAGAGGGAGACAAATATAGTAGTAAAAAAATAATAATGAGGAAATCAAATTCAGTCTGAAAGAAACTTCCTTGTTCTCACGTGACGATATTTTTTTAGGCAAACTTTTTTGGTACCAAGTGCACTTTGACATGCACGTGCGCACCCACACCCGGGAGCACCTGTATCACTGCTCCCAGTGCCATTATTCCTCCATCACCAAAAACTGCCTTAAACGCCACGTTATTCAGAAACACAGTAACGTCCTGCTGAAGTGTCCCACCGATGGCTGCAACTACTCAACTCCAGATAAATACAAGCTGCAGGCACATCTTAAAGTTCACACGGAACTGGTAAGTAGTAAGCCCGGGCAGCAGCTTGTCTGCCCCCGCTGCCCCCTGCTTTCTAACCTTTGTGCGCATGGGAAGGTGCCCCGCTTCCCCGTGAGCCCGCACGCGAGCGTCCTTCCCAGGAGGCTTCGCCCCGGGACCCCCTTCACAGGCAGAGTCTCAGATACGTTGCAAAATGATGAGGCGGAACAGATTTGCTTTCTGGGCCCACTGTTCAGCATCAGAGAAAATCTCCAGAAGGAAGAGCTACAGCGTGGAACTAAAGCAAGGCTTTCTTAAGTGACATCGTAAAGAATCATCAGCAGCAGGAGTGGCAGTAGGAAGGGCTGCCCCTGGCCGCTGAGAGGTTACATGCCGTGGTGCCCGTGGGGCGGGGGGCAGTGTCTGGTTCACGGGGAGAGCGCAGTAAATGTCGACGACGCTGGTGTCCTCTTGTGTTACTTGTTGTCGACTCTCTGTGAGGGATTGTCTGTGAAGCGCTCTTATTTAAAAACAGAAAGGCGATCATTTAAGCCAAGATGCTGTCCATATTCATAATGGTGAAGTGTGTTTAATTCTTCGGTGGAAAGTGACGTAACACAATGAATGACTGTTTAGTTTTGCAAATTCTCATGTAACTCAAGGGGCTGACACCCGAGTGTGGTTTGAGCCTTGTTCACGTGATAAAGGAGGCACAGCTGGCCCCAGGCGTGGTTCCGCGTTAATGGCTTTCCTTTTTATATCACAGACGGCTCGGCTCAGAAGGAGGCTTCAGAAGCTGGGCCTGCTTCCACTCTGTTCGGGCACAGAGATCACCCATGCTATAGCAGTTGGTCACTAAGGGTGAAGTCAGGGTGCTGTAGGTATAGTGGGTGGGTCATGCTTTAGGGTTAGATGCCTGGGTTCTGATACTGTCTCCAGCACTCACACTGGCTGTGGGTATTGGGACAAGTCACTTGTCCTTTCTGAGATTTGGTAGCCTTTCTGTATAAAATACCTATGAAAAAGTGTATGTCCATTTAAAAAATAATTTTTTTAACGTTTATCCATTTTTGAGAGACAGAGAGGGACAGAGTGCGAGGTGGGGAGGGGCAGAGAGAGAGTGAGAGAGACACACAGAAGCCGAAGCAGGCTCCAGGCTCCGAGCTGTCAGCACAGAGCCCGACGCGGGGCTTGAACTCATGAACCGCGAGATCATGACCTGAGCTGAAGTCGGATGCTTAACCGACTGAGCCACCCGGGCGCCCCAGTGTATGTCCATTTTATACACGCACACGCGTGTATACACGTACGTGCACAGACTGCACGTGTTAAACTCACACGTACGCACGCGTATACGTGTGTGTATTACACACGCCTGCAAATGCAGAACACAGATGTACGCATGTGTTTGTGTATGTATATAGATCTCCTAGGGTTACTGGGAGGATAACATGGAAAGTTCTGGAGCAAGAACCTGGAGCAGTGATTGTGCTGTTGACTGTGTGCTCGCTACTACATGTGACCTGGGACCTCTTGGCACATGTTCTCTGTCCCTCTTTCTGGATAGGGCATGAAGGCACGCCCTTCTCTTTCCTTCCAGAATAGCTGTCAGATTGGTGTTGATTCCTGTACCATCTTAGGGTGGAGAAAACCAGGGTGGCAGAAATCATGGCTATGACTTTGCTAGAAACGCACATGAAGCCAGGAGCTGAGTGAGGGTGACGTGAGGACAGGGTGCTGGGGGCAGCCTTGGAGGGTAGCAGTGAAGACCAGGAACCAGACCGTGTGTTTTAAACTCTGGCTCCCCCATTTACCATGCATCCGACTTCAGGATGAGTCATGTAACTGCCCCATGCCTCGGTTTACCCATCCTCAGGGGAAGGTGAAGTGAGAGAACATGCGTAAACGTTTTAGAACAATGCCTGACGTGGAGTCAGCACCACGTGCCGTTGACTGTTAACAATTGCTATTACTTACTGTAATTATCATGTTGGGTCTTGTTGTTCTGCCCTGAGAGACTTTGAAATGGAGGCTGAAGGTCGACCCCGAGGAGGAGGCTGGGAAAGAGCTCGGCAGTGTGTGCGGCCGCCTGTTTATCCTGTGCCCATTTTCCTTGCCTGTCGCGTGTGTCACAGGGACCCAGGTCCAGCCCAGGCTTTTCTTGCCTCTGGATGCTGGTACTCAGCCTTCTGGCCACATCCCTGGTCCTCAGGGTCAGCAGGGCCATGCCGGGAACATGTCCTAAGATCTTAAGCCCCAATTTCACGTGCTTTCCTTTATCTTGATAATCCTGCACTTAGAGAAGCTTCTCTTTCCAACTCCCTGTGGTTGCGACTCTTCCTTCTGAGAGGCTTCTCTCTCTACTGTGGACACCTGAGGCAGCTGGGGAAGTGGGTGCTGGGGAAGGGAAGGAACGGTTTCTGTTTTCGTCCTGTGGTCTGGACCCTCGAATCTTTACTCTCACACCTCTTCCGGGGGGTGGGATTATTTCCTCCCCGGGGCGGATCAGGAGCCCTCTCTGCGGGGTCGTTCGGTAGCTTGCCCCCCATCACGCTGGCCGTCAGGGTGGGCGGAGCTCAGGCCTGTGTGCTTATCTGTGAGCCACGCTCCTGTCACTGCCCACGCTGCATGGTGGGTCATGAACGGCAGCCACGTCCTTCTGAGGGGCCCCTGGGACACTTGCACACCGTTGGAAGGAACGTGGTGGGGGTACACTTTGTCCCATCAGAGCGGGGGCTGTGTTGATACTGTCCGTGCTGTGTCTTGTGCCACAACAACGAAACATCCCTGAACGTTACTGCAAGAGAGGAGCGGGAGTAAGGGAGCGTGGCTCTGTTGACCTTATAAAAACAGGGTGTTCTCGTGATTCTCATGAACACTCGTGTTTTCTTAGACGTTGTTGATGTTTGATCTCATTCCCTCCCCCCCAATATTTGCAGTTCTTCCATTTGAGACACTTTTTAAAAAATGTTTATTTGTTTAGAGAGAGAGTGTGCGAGCAGGGGTGGGGCAGAGAGAGAAGTGAGAGAGGGAATGCCAAGCAGGCTCCACACTGTCAGCACAGAGCCAGACACGGGGCTCGATCCCACGAACCGTGAGACGATGACCTGAGCTGAAGTCAAGAGCCAGATGCTTGACCAACTAAGCCTCATGGGAGCCCCCATCTGAGACACTTTTGAAGGTAAATGTGCTACTGCTGCTCTGAAGCTCACGACACAGGTCAGAGGCGCCGCAGTCTACGTGCCGGGCGTTGGGGCTTTGGATGTGAGTGAGACCCGGGGTCTGTCTTCAAGGTGCTCTTTGTTGCATGGGAGGACAAGCAAGGGGACAGTAATGGCGGTAGGGCAATGAGGAGGGAAGTGAGGTGAACACAGAGCGCTCTCCTCCTCCCACTCCGCCCCAGAGAGGTCCCGGCCGAGGTAGAGGGCTGCCCGGAGGAGGGGTTCCAAGCTTGATGAGTAGGCTTCGGCCACGAGAGAGGCAAGCAGAGAGGCAGCACACGCCAAGGGGAAGCCTTCTGTATTCCCACCAGGATGTTGACAGCGTTTCCTGTGAATCACTGGGACTGTATTGGGTATATATATAAACATACATGCTTTCTCAAGGTCGTGGTGAGGGTCCCACAAGATAGCACAAGTGAGCTTTGTGACGTAAAGGTGCCGAGCCAAGGACTCTGGTCAGGGAAGGGTGTACCTGAGTTGGGAGAGTGGTGTTGTGTGGCCTCACCTCGGCCTGGGGCTTGGTTCCCTTACCTGTGACCCAGGGAGATGGGCCAGGTGTGTCAAGAGTCTGGTTGGGCTTTTGCATTTGACCCAACACTTATGCATTTTCAACACAGATTCCCATGCGGTGCAAAATTAAGGAGATTTCAGACTGACCCCCTGCCCCCCCCAAATGGGCCTCCATCCGGGTCCATCCCAGTTGTAATAGGAGTCTGGGATAATTTGGCTGAGTTCCTATTTCTGTGACTCTCCACCATTTCTTTTTTTTCTTTTTTCATTTTTTTTTAATGTTTATTCATTTTTCGAAAGACAGAGACAGAGTGAGAGTGGGGGAGGGGCAGAGAGAGAGGGAGACACAGAATCCGAAGCAGGCTGCAGGCTCCGAACTGACAGCTCAGAGCCCAACGCGGGGTGGGGCCCACGAACCGCGAGATCATGACCTGAGCCAAAGTTGAACGCTCAGCCGACTGAGCCACCCGGGCGCCCCTACTCTCCACCATTTCTTAGCTAATGATGCACCCAATGATCAGAAGGTGTGAGTACATGGAATATAGTCTCTCCTTGTAGACCCTCCTTCTCTTGAGCAACCAGATGGTGTGACTTAGCATCCAGGATGTATTGGCATCCAGGTCGTGTGGAGAGCCAGTCAGGGGAGGCAGTTAATGATGCTGCCGGAGCAAGCCCACTTTTTACGGCACTGTGCAGACTTTGTGCAGGGGAGACTTAGGAGAACCCGGCGGTGATGAAGTGCCACGGGCTTTGGGTTGTGATGTGCTGTAGTTCAGACCTCGTATCCACCCCTGTGATCTTGGGCGTTTGCCGAGCCTCTGCTTTCTCAGCTGTAACGCGAAAATTAGGTACCATCTCCTGCCCCTTGGGGTTGTGGCGAGTAAATTAGAAAATATATGTAGGGGTGCTGGGTGGCTTTTGAGTTCAGCACAGGTCACGATCTCACAGTTTGTGAGTTCAATCCCCGCATCAGTCTCTGCACTGTGACAGTGTAGAGCCTGCTTGGGATTCTCACTCTCTCTCTTTCCCTCTCTCTCTGCCCCTCCCATGGCTCTCTCTCTCTCAAAATAAATAAACTTGAAAAAGTATGTATATGTGGAACACTCAGGTCAGTTTTTTCAGTCCCTAGGTCATGGTCCATTTGGATAGTTGTGAAATCAGTGGATTTCAACTAGTAAGTTGAGCACAACTAGTGAGCATATCTTAAGAATGAAGTTTGGTAGAATAAAATAGAAATCACCAGTCTTAGTCACCCTGACTCAGAGTTAAGTTTTGTTTTCTGAGGCCTTTGTTTCCACATTGCCAAACGGG